AAAAAAAAAAAAAGAAGCAACCCTTACAAACAACACACAGTCAACAAACAGTCTGTTTTTAGTTGTACGGTCATAAACTTTAACATTTAACATGCTAACGAGACCTGCAGGGTCTGAGATGTAGCTCTCGGGTGTTTTGCAATTTCTCTGAGCATTCCAAGGTCCTGACATTGGGGCAAGTTTGCTGGGACGTCAAGTTATTGGCACTGACAGTTTGCACTTGTGGATTATAAAAATATTATCACCATTTTGCCCAGCAAAGCGCCTGTTGAATCCAGTTTTCATTATGGAGTCGCAATTGTCCTGGGTCGTCCCATGGTACAGAAGTTTCTCTCCTGCTCCTCCCTCCTGTGCATTCTTATCAGAAATGTGCTTCTTCTGGGCTTCATAGGCACGACGCAGGTGAACATTCTGCAAACGCTCAATCTGACAAGAGAGAAGATGGACAAAGGATCAACAAGCTGCCAAACAAGGTAATCCAGGATATTAATTACATCTGAGGGGTAGCTTTATGCTTATATTCTGTGGGCCATAAATTGAGGTGTGCATCTCAGGTTTGAGAAGATTCTGTGTTGTAAACATCGATCAATTAATTACCTTAAATCTGCAAATCTGAAAAACTGAAAACATGATGATTTGCAGGCAGGTTTTACAACTGTATTGAAACATCTTTCTTTGTATTGTGAATGAGAAAATTATGTCATCATCAATTCAGTGGACTTCAGGTATATGAAACTAAAACTAAAATCCAGAATGAATGAATACAATTAAAAAATAATAAATCATATCTTTCAAATGGTGAATTTTTTGTTTGTTTGTCTGTTTATATAATGTGACATTGACTGATTTCTTGTAACTTGGAATTTCATTATGATTTTTTACTCTTAAAAAATTTGTTTATTTACTGATAAATGAAGTTTTTGCATCTATGTTGGGAGTGAAGCACTGGAACAGACTGACTGAGGACCTGAAACAATGTCCCAGCATGACCACTACAAAGATACGGTTCGTTCCCACTCGCTTTTTACACAAACACTGTGTTTATAAATGTGTATGTGTGTGCACATGTATATTTGCATCAGTATGTGTGTATATGTATGTATATATCTCTGGGCATGTTACTGGGGTTACAAAACCAAATACATGCAACAAACTTCAAGGTAGAATTTATGATATGAATATGTCATAAAAAGGAAGCAATAATAAATAAATAAATAAATAAATAAATAAATAAAGGGAATTACTGTAAATAATATACCTAAATATACATAAATATTAAAGCAAATAAGAACTTTAAAAAAAATTTTTTTTTACACTTTACACTTCATTAATAACATTTACTGACTACAAAAGAATAAAGTAGTGATGAAGCATATAATAAAACAGGTAATACAATTAGAAACTGAAACGTTCTTTTACGCAGGGAGAGCCACCCACCTTCATCACAGTTTTGGTGACGGTTCGTTTGAAGGCCTCCTTCACTGTTCGGTACTCTGCAGAAGAAGACTCCAGGGGAATGACCATCATATTTTCACTGGCAGTCATGCTGTCCCAGTACAGAGGGAAAGTAAAGTCTGAAAGAGACAATCATATATAGCATATACAGCATACAAACGAGAAGACACAGAAAGAGCCTATGCTAAGCTTTATTATTTGCCATTTACTACAAAATCTTGTAGTAAATTCTCATTCCCTCATACAATGCATCAACCATAGATGTAGTGTCTTGATGGAGGGTTGTGGGTAGCGTAGGTCACAGTGGGTAGAGCCATCTTCCTAGACCCCTGTTTCACAAACCCACACACATCTGCCGGCTACTGGGCAATTCTTGGGCACCTTGAGCTTGGCTCACACTAGGGTGGCCAAAGTCTAGGAGGGTCGGTTGCCTGTTGCCTCTAGCCCTCTGGGACTCCCACCCCTTGGCTGTGAGCTGCCCATTTAAGGGCCTCCTTTCTTCTCCTGCTGGCATGGAGGCACAGATATCGCTGAGATGTGTGGCCTCAGGTCTTTGGTACTCTTGGGGGCTTCAAATGGTTCCCCTTGATTTATCTCTATCTGGCTCTGGCTCCTGAGAGGTGTTATTGCAGCTTCCCACACTCATTTTCATGTATATTTCGTGACAAAGACACATACACAGTCTCTTCTCTCTCACTCTCTCTCTCTCTCTGTCTGTCACACACACATGCACACACAGATATTTATGTAGCTGTGCATTTTCAAAGTTTTGTGTTCGAGGTGTTGTATGATTGTTTTTCTTACAGGTGCGGCAGGTTGCGATACATTATGCATTTCTATTTGTACTCCATCCTTTCATTACATCTTATACACTTTAACATTTGTTTCTTTTGAGTTTGTATTACTCTCAAGCATCAAACTCCAGTATCAGTCGGGCCCATTTTGTAAATCATTGAGAACTTTCTTCTCACCTGCGAGATTCTCAAGTCGTTTCAGCTTCATCGTCTGTCTGCTCAGTGATTGTGTGGCCATCATTGTCTGTAGATTAACCTCCCATGTGAGTCCCTGTGCATCTGTTATTCCGTCTGTTAATTCGTTGTTTTCCAGTTGGTGATTGGCTGTTCTGGGAAGTCTTTCCCAGTTTCCGTTATGTGCCAGGATGCACCAAACAACTCGGAGGTACAAATCCTCCTCCTCCCTGACTCTTACCTCTCTGGCAAGAGCCATTAACTGACACTGATTCATTTTCTGCATCACCCGGGTGACCCCGTCTTTTAGCCCGCTCACTGTTAGGGTTCCAGACTGATCGGTTTGCATGAATAAACCCTCAGACTCCACCAGCTCCTTCAGCTCCATCATGTCATCCTGGCTGAGGGGTTCCAGTTCCTCCTTTGAGAAGGTTTTACTGGAGCACTGTGTGTGATATTGATGCTTCAGCTTTTCCATGGCATCGTCAATGTCCTTTTTGGAAAGACCCAGGAACGTGAAGACAGATTGCTGACTTGTAGAGCTGATTTGGAGACTGCTGAGGTATGCACTCACAGAAGGAGGAGGCTGTTGTTGCTGTACTTGAACTGGAAGTACTGAAAGTACTGGAAGTACTGGAACAAATCAGTAAAAATTTTCAGTAAAATAATTTTGAATCAGTTTTTATTTTAAAATTCACTACACTAAATAACTACACAAAATGTCAGTTTGTGAATATTTCTGTCACCTCTGTTGATGACAGCTGGGGAATACATCTGCATCGCTTCCTCTTTAAAAGTCAAGAAGACATTGATCTTAATCAGGACGAGGCGGATGTCAGTGAGGCTGGTCATGAATGATGCAGATGACTTGATTCCTCGAAGAATGGCTCCTGCTACAATCACAGGATTCAACCCTCCAGCTCCTGCAAAAACACCCCTTCCTCTTAGGTGTGTGTGTGTGTAGCACAACAAACAGAATAAATAGAAATGCTGAACAAAATACTTACCAGCACACATGCCAGGAATTGCCACTGAATTGTATTTATGTGATTCACAGTAACAAATGATATCACATACAAGTTGTTCAATGAGGACTTCATCCTGTTCTCCATGCACATGTAAAATAGCTTTATTGGGGAAGTTTCCAGACTGGGTCACGAAAATTTCTCCTCGATTCACTGTTGCTGCCACCTGTGGTTGAGCTAAAGTTGAGATGTCTTTGCATAAGCCATATATAGAAGAAGAAAAAATATATTTTAAAGGATGTCAGTGAAGGCAAGTTTGTGCTATATGCTAATCCTGTGCTAGTTTTAGCAT